CTAGTTTGTTAATGCTGCCCACCCCCCCACTATCATGACCCCAGTTTTACCTTACAAATCCAGCTAGACTGGAGTATGTACACTGCTACAGATAAGAGGTCTCAACACATGGAATCCAGGACAGATAAACTCCTCAGGAACAGTAATGGGAATAGCGATACTATGAGGGTAGGGTGAAGCTGGGGGAGAAAGGGGGAACTGATCACAATGATTGATGTATAACCCTCCCCTCAAGGGGGACAAACAACAGAAATGTGGATGAAGGGAGACAGAGGATGGTGAAGATATAAAAATAATAATTCATAGTTTATCAAGGGTTCACGAGGGTAGAAAGTCGGGCGAGGGAGGGAAAAAGAAGAGTGGATACTAAGGGCTCAAGTAGAAAGAAAATGTTTTGAAAATGATGATGGCAATATATGTACTAATGTGCTTGATACAATTGATGTATGGATTATTACAAGAGCTGTAAGAGCCCCCAATAAAATGATTTATAAAAAACAAAAAATAAAAACCTTGGGACCCCAAGGGAAGGTGAGATATGAGGAATCATTTCTGGGGGTTTGGCAGACCCAAAATGGAGAAAAGCTTTAGGTAAGACCTAAAAGCCTCACTTTAGGCTTCAAACCCCACAAAGGTTGTATGTAGCAAAGATACATCTTGCCTGAGGCCTTAACTTTTTATTATTCTCAGTGATTTAGACTTTGGAATATGAGTAACCATACATTCAAAACTGAGTCACACGTGCAGTAAAATTCAGCCTGACAGTCACGTTATGTTTCCATATCTAATGATATGAAATCGTTCCTACATCTCTCACCACCAGGCTTTCTCCCATCCTTTCTCATTTTTGTTGCAGAGGAAGAAGCTGTAAAGTTATTTGCGTATAAGACCTTTTTTTTTTTTTGCATTTTAATATGAAGACTAGGTCTCTAGGTAGTGCAATAGTTTGCTCTTCATTACTAACTTGTGTTGACAGTTGAAATCCACTCAGCAGATATGTCTGATAATCTGCTAAAGATTAGACAAAAAGCAAACACAAGCCAAGCCAATAAAACAAACCTTATAGGGCTGTACTATTCAGTCACACTTGGGGTCACCATGTATCAGAATCGATGACAACAGGTTCTATCAGTTTCTCCAGATGGGCAATACTGCCTCCTGGGAGTGATGGCGCCATCCTGGGGCTACAAAAGCAGATACCTATACTTCCTCCTGGATTGTGGGCTATGGTACAAAAGGTTTCATTGCTAGGGAGGGTGCTGAGTTTTTTGTTTGTTTTTTCCCCTGAAAAGGGATCAGTAGGCCAAATAAGTTTGGGAACCTATGGATTATATAGTGTGTGGTCCAATCTAAAGTGGTAATTTGTAGGTCCTGTGTGTTTTCTTTCTCCATTTTGTAAAATTTCTTTTATTTTTTTAATCCCTCTTGATCCCTAAGATTCTTTATCTACTTGTTAAAAAACGTCTTTAGTTGTCTGTCACCCCCTCCCTGTGCAGGAGGTCCCCGAGTCGCACCAAGTAGATCAGCGCTGTGTAGCTCTTCACTATGGGGGGAGATACTGTGCTGGTTACATTGTGTGCACTCTGATTTATCTACATTTTAACTTATATTTGTAAATATAACTGTATTCCCTTTTTTCTCCTGAAATAAAAATGTTTATAAAGTAGTTCTTTCAAAGTGACTGTGTGTCCTGTTTCATTTTTACAGAAAAACAATTCAAGGCAATCGGGGAAAAGTCATGAGGAGATTGTTAGAGTTGGAAGGTCCAGAGATTACATATGCCAGCTCATCTGACAAAGGTGGAAATTCGGGCACAGAGTGGCTCTGTGCCTTCCTGAATCACACACAGGACAAAGAAATGCACAGAGAAAGGCCTACATGAAGCAAACGGATCTAAATTTAGTAGCCAGGAACAGAGTTTCATTCTTGTTTTCAGTTCGTAGTTGTTTTTGACCTCACGGGGAATACTGTTGTTGTTAGGCGCTGCTGATTCGGTTCTGACCCATAGTGACAGGGCACAGCAGAAGGAAACCCTCCCAGTCCTGTGCCTTCCTCACAATTGTATGTTTGAGCCCACTGTTGCAGCCAGTGTATCAATCTAGTATGTTGAGGGTTTTGCTCTCTTTTTTGCCCCGTTACCCACTTTACCGAGCATGATGTCATATTTGCAGAACTGAGAAAAGAAAAATACTAGTTAGCCTGGCAGATGAGCAAGAACCAATGGTACTGAAAGTAGAAGACCAAGCTGTACTGAAAGCATTAGCCAAAAACAAGGCTCCGGGAATACCATTTGAAATGTTTCAACAAGCTGATGAAACACTTGAAGCACTTACTTGTCTATACCAGGAAATTTGGAAGACAGTTACGTGGCCAACTGACTGGAAGAGATTCTTATTGGTACCCATTCCAAAGAAAGGTAACCCACTAGAACGCACTAATTATAGGACAATATCCTTGATATCACATGCAAGTAAAATTTTGTTGAAGAGAATTCAACAATGGTTGCAGCAGTACATTGACAGGGAGCTTCTAGAGGCTCAGGCTAGATTCAGAAGAGGACATGGAACAAGGGATATCATTGCTGATATAAAATGGATCTTGACTGGAAGCAGAAAATACTAGAAAGATGTTTACTTGTGTCTCATTTACTATGCAAAGGCATTAGACTGTGTGGAGCATAACAAACTACGAATAGGCCTGAGAAGAATGAGAATTTAGAATACTTAATTGTGCTCATGCAGAACCTATACATGGATCAAGAGGCAGTTGGGCAAACAGAAACAAGGGAATCATGTATGGCTTCGAATCATACAAGGTGTGAGTCAGGGTTATATCTTTTCATCATATTTATTCAATCTGTCTGCTGAGTAAATAATCGGAGAAACTAGATGATAAAAAAATGCAGCAAGAGGGAGGCAGGAAGGTTTATTAACCTAGGATACGCAGATGCAGATGACACAGCCTTGCTTGCTGAAAGTGAGGAGGACTTGAAGCCCTTGCTGATGAAGATCAAGGATTGCAGCCTTCAATATGGATTACATGTATCAATGTAAAGACAACTGATATCCTCGTAACTGGACCAATAGGCAATATCGTGATAAATGGAGACTAGATTGAAGTTGTCAAGGATTTCATCTTGTTTGTATCCTCAATCAGTACTCATAGAGGCAGCAGTTGAGAGTTTAAATGACCCATTACCTTAAATAAATCTGCTGCACAATTACCTTGTTAAAGTGTAAAAAGCAAGGATGTTACTTTGCGGACTAAGGCAAACCTGCCTCAAGTCCTGTTATTTTCAATTGCCTCCTATACATGTGAAAGTTGGACAGTGAATGAGGAAGACCAAAGAAAAATTGGTGTACTTGAACTATGGTCAGGGTGAAAAACACTGAAAGTATCACGGACTCCCAAAAGAACAAACAGATCTGCTTGGAAGAAGTGCAGCCAGGATACTGAAGGATGGTGAGACTTTGTTTCAGGTACTTGGAACATATTATCAGGAGAGACCAGTCCCTGAAGGACATCCTACCTGGTCCTATGGAGGGGCAGTGAAAAAGAGGAAGGCCCTCAAAGTGATGGATTGGCACAGGGGCTGTGACAATGGGCTCAAACATGAATACAATTGTGAGGCTGGAGCAGGGCCTGGCGGGGTTTTGTTCTGTTGTACACAGGGTCACTATGAGTCGGAACCGCCTGACCGCACCTGACAACACCACCAACAGTCAGCCTAAATTGTAAAGACAAGGAAATAAAGTTTTGTCCTTAAAGCGCAGCTCATTGCCCAGCCCAGTGTAAAAAGTAAAAGTCATCTATAATTATTCTCACTTTTATTGCCTGATGCCTCTCCTCAGGGGCTAACTGCACTACTATGACTCAGTTTCTATCTCATCCATTGTCTGCCATTTTAGAGCAACGAATTTCCAGTGCTCGGTGGACATTTTCTGCTCCTTTTAGGCTGAGTCAATTCCTTTATTGTTCTTTCTTATCAATTCATTGGCAGAATGCTTTTTCCACCTCTTTAAAGGCGCTTTGGCTCAGAAAGAATTTATTATACATGTACTTTTACCTCAAAGGAAACCAGAAAAATAAGTAAACTGGAATAAGAGATTAACCTTCCATTTACAGGGAGATTAACAGATAAAGTACGCTTAGAAAAATTTCCTGAAATAAAATAACCACACTGTCATTCAGACCTTGCCATTAAAGTGTTTTTTCACAATACCAAATTAAATCAAATTTTCCCCCTAAATTAAAGCAAAAGTTAAAACGTCATTCAAATTAGTAAGGATTGGAGTGCTTACTCTACATAAGGCACTGTGGTGGGCCCTGCTGAAGATACAAAAACAAGTCAGTCCCTGCCTTCAGTAACCAGGTGTGTGTCATCCTTACCTTTCAAAAAAGGCTTTGCAGAGGCAACGTCTGTGTTCTATGAGGAAACCACACACTCTTGCCCTTTCATCACCAGCAGGTATTCGGGGCCCTCTTCATGAGCTATGAAGTGTAAACAGTTCGGTGCTTGACTGCAAAACAAGTTTGGTGTTTGGGACCTACCCAGAGGTTCCTCGGAATAAATGCCTGGCGATCTGCTTCTGAAAGCTACTGCTTGAAAAACGCTGCAAAAAGGCACTCAAGTAAGGCAAGAGCAACTTGGGAAGGCTTCCTGAAGGAAGGAGCCGGTTTTGAAGGTGCTCTCAGTTCTATCAGGAAGGTAGGGACGGAGGTAAATAGAAAGGATGCGGGGGTTGGGCAGAGAGGCGACAATTCGCACGCGCCAGATTGAGTCTCTTTCCCAGGGACACAGCGCCGGAGGCCGGGTGAGGAGCGCAGGTACCCCTCTCCAGCCGCTTGGCTCAGGTTTCCGGAAGGACCAGACCGGATGGAGGTCGCGCGCCCTCTTCCGGCGCCTTCCAGTCCACCAATGCCAGCCTGGTCCGTGAGGCGGGGCCGCGCACCCGGGCGCGCGCGCTCTCGGCGCAGGCGCACTCGGCGGTCCTCGCGCGGCGCGATGCCGGGCCCTCACGTCTCGCGTGTGCTGGCCCTGTATCGGCGCATCTTGCAATTGCACCAGGTCCTGCCCCCTGACCTCAAAGCCCTGGGGGACCAGTACGTGAAGGACGAATTTCGGAGACATAAGTCCGTTGGTTCTGACGAGGCCCAGCGCTTCCTGCAGGAGTGGGAGGCAAGTGACGCCCCCCTGTGGTCCCCCCCGCCCCTCAGAACTTTGTGGTCCACCGATGGGGCCCGGTTTGCCCCGGTCAGAGACCCCTCGACCGGCTTCGTCTCGCAGACTCGCACGCAACATCGTCGAGAGCGGCAGCGCGTTCGACCCGAATCAAACAGTGTCAAACTGTTCAAACAACCTTTCTCAGAGTTACACCGCCGAGCGCCCCGATTTGACCCTCGGCCGACCGCGTCCCATCAGCCTCGCCCGTTCGGCCCCGGGGTGCCGCAGGGCCGGGCCCGAGCGGGACGGCCACCGGCGGGGCCGCAGGAAGCCCCCCCTGCAGCGCCGGCCCTTTCCTTGCTCGGGTTTCCGAGCGAGGAGGTCCTTCCTGTCACCCTTGACTCTTCGTGCGGGCGGCGGGTCCTTTCCCCACCCTGCGACCCGACGTCGGGAACTTTAGAAGGCCTGCCCCGGGGGAGAGAGGCCAGGCCCGACCGCGCTCCGTCGGCGAAGTCAGTTCTCCGGACGCGCAAGACACGCTTTCAGGTTCTATCCCCTCGCACGCCGGCGCCACCGCTCAGTTAGATACACACACCCCTGAGGGCTTAACCCTGCAGTTTACTTGTTTAGTCAACGAAGGAAAAAGCTACTTAGAGCAGTCGGGAGCCTGTGGTTCCGAATGGTAAATAGCAGGTAGAACGGAGATAGAGCGTCCTAAGAAACTCACTGCCAGCGAGTCAGTTCGGACCCCGCAACCCCGTGGAGCTGTAGAACGGGCCTGGCTTCCCGAGACCGCAGCTGCCACAAGGGAGTGGAAAGCCTCCTCTTTCTGTGTGGTTTGGGGCTGCAGACCTTGCAGTCAGCGGCCCTACCCGTCAGCCACCAGGGCTCATTGTACGAGACTAGAAGTAAGCAACTCTTTAGGCTAAAACGCTGATGGCTTAGGAGGAGATTACTGGAGTCTGTTTTTACTTTTTGGAAATGAAAGGTTCTGGTTAGGGTAAAAATACAATATTTCTCACCAATTTCTAGACTAATTGCTGGCAGAATCATTAAAGCGTGCAAAACAGGACATTTAGGATCATGCTGAGAGGTAGACTGCTCCTAAAGTCAAGGTACACAAGATGCCATTAGAATTAGCCCGCCTGGAGCCATTGGCGTTGAATTTGTATTAGTCTCAGGCCACTTTGTTTTCATATGGCCACTGGGTCTTGCAGCCAAAATGCTGATATTCAAGTCCAGACTCAGGCCTACATTAAATGTGAGCTCACTTGATATTTTCAGTTCTTTTTCTTCTCTATAAAATAAGTATTTACAGCGTACACTTCAAAATGAGTGTTTTTTAAAAGTACTTTTTAAATTATTCATTACAATGGCCTGAAAGGCTATTAAGGTTTGCTATGTGACTTCTTTTAAGCCAGGCCATTTTGTGGCAGGATAGGGAGAGTCTGGTTATGCACCTGGAAGAAAGAATGGTACTTTGAAAAGTCCCGAAGTGTCAGGACTTTGATACTTTTTAAGGAAAAAGTATGAGGAATAGGAGCTTTGATAATTTTTAGGGAAAAGTGTGAAGAATATAATAAGTTGGGAATAAGTAACAAAGGAGAGAAGTGGGATAAGAAATTATTGAGCATATTAAAAATGTGTTGGTTAATTTAGAAATTGTGGCATCACGAATTTAGCCTTTTTCTTTTTAACTATTTTGAAATAATTTTAGATTTAGGGAAAAATTCAGCTGGTAGTGCTGCGTACCATGCGGCCTGTACCCAGCTTCTCCACCGATTAAGATCTTACCTGAACATGGTGTAGATTTCAAAAGTAAGAAATTAACATACCTCAACACTATTAACTAAAGGACAGACTGCATGGTATCAGCTAGATTCCTATTTTGCGCTGAATGGTCAGGTCTCTGAAATTCCCACTTTGCATTTAATGATCAGGCCCCTGAAGTGCCCTGTAGTCTGTGACTGTTCCTCAGTTTTTCCTTTTTTCCCCCCTTGAACTTTTTATTTGAAAGTACTAGTTAGTTATTATTATTTTTATTAAACACTTTTATTGGGGGCACTAGTTATTTTGTGAATACCCCTCCATCTGATTTTCTGGGTGTCATCTTCAGATCAAGTTGATGTGATGCGTCCCTGTGGATACTGCAGGGCTGATGTGCCCTTCTCTACTCATCCCCTCCGGATAACACGTGCATCATAATAGCACCCTGACTTATTTGAACTGGCAATGCTAACTGTGATAACTTGGTAAGGTAGTAACTACCGCATTTCTCCTGGCATTTGGGGAAATTAGAAGGAAGATACTTTATTCTCATCTTAATGATAAGAATGTAAGTTTGTTTTTACAAGCTAAATAATGAATTTATGTAATCATTGTAAGGGGGAAACAAAACAAGTCCAGGAAGAGATTCTAGCAGTCTGTTAGGGAGATTGTTGATAGC